TGGAGCCATCAATGCACCCATTCTTGTCTAACTTTGACTATCAAAGAGAAAGCACTGCTGAGGGTCCTCAATAGCCCACAAGGAGAAAAGATGGAACAGAAATGAGTTCAGAAAGCAAAGACTGTGCTGACTTTGACAGCTCACGCCTGCAATCCTACACGTAGAGGCTGAGGCAGGAGGACCAGGAGTTCAAGGCCAGCCTAGGTTCTCTAATGATGACCTGTCTCAGTAAACAAAAGGAGGAAAAGGGAAGGAAAGACAGAACTATAAAGTAGGCAGGAAAGAAGGCTTGTGACAAAGACAATGTGATCATTGTCTCCTACTAAGGACAATAAAGCTAAGTTTGGCCACTGACTCACTTGGGGCTCTTAGGGATACATTTAATGTTTCTGTCTTCCTAATCTTCCAAAGTGGAGACAGAAATATCTATCAAGAATTCCTTTACAAGGTATTTTGAAATTAGCTTGTCTCAAAAACTGCTACCTCATTAAAAGCTGCTCTTATGAACAGAGCTTCACATAATCACAGGTCACTCTGATTCAATAGAGGGTCTCTAGACACTCACTAAATTCCTTTAAATCAAATTATTTTTCAAAAGCACTCAGAAAATTTACTACTTAAAATCTATGCCAAATGGACAAACACCAATTCATTTGCCTATCTTCCAGAGGCATTCACAAAGAACTTACAAATATTACAACTGGATTGTCCCTACAAAACTTGAGATAGTTTTATGAATCTGTTTTTCAGTGAGGAGAAAATAGGCTCAAGAGAGATAAACAGACTTTCCAAAGTCATGCACTGGTAGGGTGAAAACTTTAAGTGTTCTTCTCTAACCCTTACTCTGCTCCCATTATACCCAGTGACCATGTGCTATGGATAGAATTACTCACTGAAACTCTCATTCCATAACTGCATGAAATAAACAACCACGAACCACTTTTAAGTTCACTGCATCCCACTTTCATTCAGCGAGGCACTGTTCGAGAATACACGCTCTGGAATCACATAAATCCACACTTAAATTCCACTGTCACCTTTGAGTATTTCATGAATTAAGCAGCTTTACCTTCAGAACTTCAGTTTTTCCATCTATAAAAGAAGAGTACTTTTCCCTGCAGGGTTTATAGAGGTTTGGATTGGAGAGCTTTATATAAAACACCCAGACAAATGCTGGTATGGAATAAATTCTCAGTGATGGAATGATTGTCATCAATGCTGAAAATCAAATCAATGTAAAATTTGCTAACAGGAAATTCTTCCTTTTTGATAAAGAGATCAATTTTAACTTTCAGCCTTAGAGCACATGATCACTCCTAGCATTAGAAGTTTAGCACTTAAGTCCAGGATTTTATAAGACAAACTAATGACCCAAGATCAAACTATTATAAAAGTTAAAGAAGGTACTTCACAAAATGGAAACAGTAATTGAAATATCTTTGAAAAACTAATTAGGGAAAATTCATATTTGCTATAAAACAGTGGTGTGGTCCTTTCTGTACAGTTAAGCTTTACTTCTGGCCATTTAAGCTCTTTAAGAATTTTGCTGAAAATGAGATGAATCCATAGACTTACCACATGAAGGCAAAATATATACAAGGACAGCCACTGTATATAGATGATCCTTAATGCTTTCAGAGAACTAACACACATTACTTCATTTGACCCTCACATTACTAAGAAATAAGAGATTAAGTTTCCAGTACTGAACTGCCAGTGGTAAGGAAATAGCAAACCCTGTTCTTCTCTGCTTGTCTCATTTTTTTATAACATTAATGGAGGGTGGAATGCAGGAGCCTCTGTACACATTAGGGAGTGTACAGAAAATGGTGGGGATGGCAACAGTAGAGGCTGGAGCCACACATCTACGATAGTCATAAAAGGCTTTAGAAAAGGTGGCAACCCTTATCTGACATTCTAACTGGTGTAGAAGTCCTTCTGGGAGATGCCTAATGGTCCTTGAGCTCCGATTTTTTTTTCTTTGAATTCAGAACACCAGATATTTAGTTCCCTCCCTTAGCCTTGCTGCATGAATATACATTGAATTCATTTTATAGGGAGCAAACAGTTATTCTTTGAAAATCTGATATCCTTTGACTTTTAATTAGGGTATTTAAACCATTTATACTTAATGTGATTTCAGATATAGTTGGGCTTAAATATAGCATCTTTCTATTTGTTTCCTAATTGTCCTAACTGGTCTCTGTTCCCTATTTTTGTTGTCTTTTGAATTTACTAAGTACATTTTTCTCATTTTACTTTACTTAGTCTCAAAACTTTTTCTACACTTAACAGTCACTCTCTTGATGTACTAAACCAGTCATTTCTGTGTCTGTTTTTACTGACTGATTTCTCTTTGTGACTGAATTTGATTCTTTACATGTCTGGTAAATGTTGATCTAATGTTAGACACTGTGTGCTTTATTTTGTGGTTGCTGAGGTTTTTATCTTCTTTTTTATATCTTTGAAATTTGTTCTAGGATAAAGTGAAGCTACTAGATATATGATCCTTTAAGTCAAGATTCTGAAAACTATGACCCACAGACTAAATCTGACCCATTGCCTATTTCTAGAAATAAAATTTTACTGGAATACAGCCACCTCCATTGATTTACATATTATACATGGCAGCTGTCACATGGCAAGGCAGAACTAAGTAGTTAAAACAGATACCACATGGCCACATGGCCCACCAAGCCTAGAATACTATCCATCTGGTTCTTAAAAAAAAGCTTTGTAGCTCTCTTTAATAGGTGACCCTTAAGATTTCTTAGGTAAGATGAGAGTAGCCTATAGTCTAAAGTTAACTTTTCCTTACTGCTGAATAACTGCTCTGAGAAATAATCCACCTAACATCCTAACACTATTTATATTACAAAGTTTTCCATTCTGCATAGTGTGGGGACATATTCTTCTCAACTCTATGTGAGGGAAGTTTTTGTTTCCAAGGGCTCTTTTCTAAGCCCAGGGTAGTTCTCTTGCACACATATATCAATCAGCCCTCAGATGAAGACTCCAAGGAAAGCCTTTCAATACAACTGTCTGTACAACTCTCTCTTCTGTCACTCTGTCCTCCAGATTCTAGCTGCCTCACCTCTGAATTCCTAACTCCATCACCTCAATTCTAGATAACTACTGGGCTGTTTGAGCTTCTTTTTTATATTATTATTTTTTTTATTATTTGAGAATTTCATACATTGTATTTTGGTCACATTCACACCCCCTTCCCAGTTTCTTTTTCTTACACTGCAGTCAAAATCAAATAATTTGCTTTCCTTCTCCCAGGGTTCACTGTCTCATGTCACTTATTCAATATCTAAAAGGGAGAAAGGGGTGTTTCAGGCAGGAAAATAAATCTAGTTCTTGTTACCACAGCTAGAGATAGAAGTCTCCAGTTAATGTTCCAGCCCCTGATATTTTCATTACTTCTTTCTATTTGCAGAGAAGTTGCCCCAAGTTGAGTCAAGTTAGTAGCTCTATTAAACAATCCTTTCCCATATCCCACTTTCCATTTTTATGTAATATATATCAGGGTATGGAACTCAAATTATAATAAAGCCTTTTTTGCCTTTTTTTAAACCTTATTTTTCTTTTAGACAGTACTTGCTGAGTGGCTGTTTTCCTCACATTTTGGTGTTGGGAAATTCACCAGTATGAACAAAACAAAATTTCTTATGCTTGCCAAGCTTACCTTTGAGTTGAGAAAAGGAGAAAAACAAAACAAAATACATGTCGGATGGTGGGTAATTAGAAAAATGACAGGGAGTTCTAAAAATGATGCCAGTTTCGCAAGGGCTGGTCAAGAAAGTGTGGGTGAGAAAATGACAATTTAAGGAAGATCTAAAGGAGGTTAGAGAACCAGTTGTATGATCATCTGTGGGAACAGCAGCTGCAAAATCTGGCATAGGAACAAGAAAACATGGCTCATGCAGTGAGTGAGGGGGAGCAGGGAAATAATAAGTGAGAGGTAATGGGGCCCATATCACACAGGAGCAGATAAGCCTCTGTAAGTGAGCCAGGGCAGTACTAGAGATATTGGAGCAGGTAAGTAACATGATCAGTCTTACTTTTAAATAATTTACTTAGTCACTGTTTGGAGAAAGAGCTATAGGAAACACAGTATAAAAGCCCAGAGACAAATCAGGAGTCACTGCAATAAGCAGATGTTGAAGGCATGCACCAGAGTGGTGGTGGTGGGGGGAATGGGATGGGGCTCAGGATATGCAAAGGGAGAGCTAACAGCATCTCCCAACAGCTGGATGTGTAGAATGGGGGGGAAGAAGAGAAGAGCGCTAAGAGCATCTAGTCTAAGCAAGCAGATCAGCTGCTAATTTGATTAGGCATTTGGCATAAGCCAGTTTAATTCAGTGTCCCCCCAAAATTACAGGACTATAATGCCCTTTGCCACTTAATGTCAATTAACATCCCAAAAATAAGCATGTTGAGACAAATACTTTGGGAAAGACTGTATTGCAGGTATGTGCTTCTCTGGTGGTCCCAAGATAAGTGGACTGGAACCTTCTCAAACAAACGTCAAGATACCACAAGATTCTCTTGTTCTGTTGCTTTATACCAGTCTCTTTTATTGCTAAGATGATGAAAACAAAGCCACCCAAAACAATACTTACTCAAGGTATCTTGAAAATTAGTTTACCATATTTCAATTCTTCCGCATCAAAATCAAAGATGGCAGGAGGATGATTTGGATGAAGACTGAAAAGGCCAGCAGTCTGGAGACACATACAACCTGAGCTCCACAGATGGCTCTAACCTATCATCACACTAGCTCGAGATGAGTAGTTCAAAGTTTCTCAAAATGACTCATCTACTAGCATTGGAGAAAAATGAAACAGGCTTTAAAATAACAGTATATGGATCCTACAACGAAAAAGCTTTAATCCACTTTTTATTCCAGGACCTCTACAAATGTACTTTCCTGTGGTGAAAGAAGGCAAAATGTTGAGGAGGATTAAAAAAAAGGAAAAGAAATATCAACTTACAAAAGCCAGTGCGCCGTGTATGAATCAAGCAGGAATAACCTGAAAGCAAACAGAAATGATTCCTTAGCATTACACAGTAGTAGTGTGTACATTTGTTAAAGGTAATTTTGAGAATATTGGCAATTCACATTCAGTTTTAAGAAAGCTTTGACTCAGTTCCCTCAACACCAACATTCTACAAATCTATAGTACAATGTTATATTTGTTAACACAATTCAGAGTCTTGAAATTTCTCACATCACCACCAGCACAGTCCACACACTGAACAGTTCCATTACTATGAAGATCTTTCTCATCCAGAGCCATTATCTCCCATCTTTAAACTGATCCTTATTCTAAAAATAAAATAAGATCCATTTGTTAAA